TGGCAAGAATAGCTCTTGGCTCTCTGTAATACACTGCTGTTGTCTTCAGGCTTTCAGGCTTTTTCATATTATGTCACACCAGGATTTAGGCTAGAATAGTCTATATGTTTCCCTTACTACTCAATATTTTCTCCCAGGGTGTCTGTATTTTTTTTTTTTTTTTTAACTCATAAACTTACCTGGAATAGGAAACTTTAGAGGTTCCAAATTTGTCTAAATGTACAAGTCCTCATTCTCAGGGAAACTCCCTCTGTTGTTTTACTTCAGTACATGGAGTTCTACAATGTTCTCTTACATTGGAGAAATGTACACAGCATTCTACTGGAAGGCAAGGATAGTGCTGCATGCCTAGAACAAGCTTAGTCTTTTTTACCTTTTCACTCCTATTTTTATACCTGTACACTGTTGCCCATTACTCCTGGTTCTTTATGACATGCCTCAAATTAAGGTACACTTTACCCTGCTATCCATGAAAGCCCTTGTATTTGCATATTAATAGGTGACTTAAATTTCTTTATTCAACATGTGGTCTTTTGTGGACGTAGTTTCTCTTCCTCATGGTCCCACAGACATTTATTCAAAAAAAAAAAACACACACAGTGGCTTATATTAATTATAAATTGTTTGGTCAATGGCTCAGGCTTCTTACTGGTTAGCTGACTCTTAATTATTAACCCATTATTATTAATATATGTATTTGTATATATCCTTATTTTACTGGAGAATGTCCAGTGTTCCATCTTCTTGATAACTACATGGAATCTCTCTGTTGGCTCCTCTCTGCATTTTTCTCCCAAGAATTCCCCTAGTCTTGTAGCACCACCTACACTTCCTGCCTGGCTACTGGGCAATCAGTATTTATTCATCAACAAATATGAGAAACATATATTCATAGACTACAGGACATGCTCCATCAGTCTCAGATCGCTATATGTGACCCACAATTTTCAATTACCTTGAACACCCTACAAAAAGCAGGTGCAGTAGTTCATACTCCCAAGACATTTCATTCTTCAGAGTAGGGGAATATTCTTTCATTCTCAGAAAATTCTGGCAAGGCTTTAAAGCCTTCAAAACATTTGCTCTTGGATCTTTTTATTTATTTTTTTTTTCCTTTAGGAATTCCAGCTTGACACAAATCTCAATATATTTGCTTCTGAGTATCCCAGACAGGACCTTAATATTTTGTTCCATTGCATAAGTGCTCTAGAATCATATTAAGTCCTCCTCATCTACCAAAGATTAGTCTACTTCTTCAAGACCATGTATTTCATGTGGCTCAGCAATTAACTTTGCGTGACCATGATCCTCTGTGACACAATGAAATAAGCATCAAACAGGGCCTCCATTATGTCCAACTTCATCAGTAATACATTTCTTCTATCATCTTTCAATCCCTGATATTTATGAGGACCTCAGCTGGTGGAAACCAGTTGTCACTAATGCTCTTTATGAGCCCTTCCATTAGACATGGATTTCCTCATACTGCCACAGGTTATATAGCATTTTTATTAAAGAAGCATAGGTTTTTACTTATTCAGTTCCTTAATAGACACACACCATTGTTTCATAACCCCATGAGCCAGGTTACACTTTTAACATTTTTTTAAAAATCTTCCTCAATCCACATATTTAGTTGCAGAGCATTTAAGGCCCTTATCTGTTTTCTGGATGATGAATTTTGCCTTTGACTTTATTAGATGTAAGCTCAGAGGAGCATCTCCTTTCTACATGTTTTATGCCTCTTCATCTTTCAGTGCTCTCATGGAGCCCTGTCCTCAGCACAGACTGACTTTGTCTCCTCTTTTCCTTATATCCCTCCATCAGTTAGACATGGAATACTAGCACTTCCAACACATCATTCATTTTCCCACTTTTCCTGCTAATTCAGTCTGATATTAAAGACAGTGTCCAAAATGTCTTTTTGTTTTTAATTGTAATTCCTCCTGTAAGTAAGTAGCTTTTCTTCTAGACAGAAAGCTCAACTATACAGTATGTCTTACTGCTCAGAGTAGGGTCACAGGACCAGTGCCATAGTCTGCCTATGCTATTGCCATGAGGGAGATGGTTTGGAGAATTGTAATATCTTCTCTTGTAATCCGTCTTTTGGGGCATATCCTCATATTCATTAAACAGAACACATTAATCCAGAAGGCTTATTACTCTATAACACATACATAGCAAATGCCAACCTTTGATTCTTCTTTTAAATGCTCCGCCTTCAGTCAAAAGTTTTAGTGGTATGTCCTTTTTACCAAGAACAGGGACAATGTAATTGACACCACAAGATGTATGCACTTCCATACCAAATGAAGATATGAGGCCCTATCTCTTTATTATCTCTGCAGATACCATAGTATCTTGGGCAGTGCTTAATATGCAATATTTTATGTGTTTTACTCTTTTATATTTTAGAATCAAGAACTAAGCAATTTTTTCATTGAGACATGGTTTCTCTGTGTAGCTTTAGAGCCTGTCGTGGAATTTATTCTCTAAACCAGCCCGGCCTCAGATTCACAGAAATACCTCTGCCTCTGCCTATCAAGTGTGGGGATTTAAGGTGTGTGCCACCACCACTTGGCTACAGAGTAAATTTAAACATATATGAAAGTAGAGTCTTGCAATAAATGTTTACCTAATAGGTATTTTTGATTAATATAGTAGTTCTGTTTTCATGTTGAGATATTCTCAGCATGAATGAAAGGTTTTTGAAGGTAATATATTACATAAGTAAATTGGCTAGATATAGTTTTTCTATCCATGCATGTAAACATTATCTCATACTATCAAAAATACATATAATTTTATTTACAAACATACAAATATAAAGGACTATAAAATATCCTGACTAATATACTTTATAAGCTATAAAATTGGCTTTCCATTGGCCTAGGATATGAGGTATCAAAGTGAATTGATACAAAAATAAAGTATATAAAGTATACAATGTTTTCACCTCCCACAATAGAAACAAGCCAGGAGATCCCAAGGTCCTCTCTTTTTACCTGTAGCTTCTCTCTCTTAAATTATCATTTTTTTCTTTAACAGTTTTGCTATGTTGTTCTTTCAGACTTTATTTCCTTCCCTTCTTTGTCCTTCTCATAAAAATAACTTCCTTTAACCAATCTCTTAATTTCACAGACTGTGATCTCCCAAGTCTGGAAACTCTTGTGAATGGATACATGAATGAGTGAGCAACTGAGTGAGTGACAACTAACTACTCTGCAATTTCATTTCTGCTTTCCTAGACATTTGGTATTGATGCACCCTAAGAATAGGTTCCAATTGAATTTGTGTGTAGTTGGTTCTGTTGCTGAGTTCACCACATAGGATGTGCATACTTTCTAAGTTATCAAGATTCATTTTCCTTTCTCATAAAAGGAAATAATAGTGGATTTGTGTAAGGATTAAATGTGAAAATTCATATGACGTTCCTAATACCTGAGCTATAGAAAAAGCATTAAGGAATATAGCAATAATTATTCTAAAGCTGCTATTTCCATGATATATGAACATGAAATATGATTGTAACCTTATGAGGGACTCTGACGCACATTTTGTTTCCTCAGGTTATGTAGAAACTACTCTCAAAACGTGTGAATGTTCTCATCTCTATTAGCATAAAAAAATAAAAAAACTCACAAAATAATATTGTCAACAATTGGCTCTCTAAAATGAATGTTTTTACATCTGAATGCTCTTCATGTTTATCAAAATAAAATAGGTACAAGAATACAGCTTCTTAGAATAGATACCATTGCCACATTAGAATATTATAATGACTCCTTGCCATGCCTTAGAATATAATAATGGCATCCAACAATGTATTAGAATATTGCAGTGACTTCCTGCAATGCATTAGTAAGTTATAATGACATGCTGTAATGCATTAGAATATTATGACTGTCTGAAGAATATTAGAATAGCATAATGATTTTCTGCAATTTTTTGAGTATCAAACTACCTTGGGCAGATGGCGGTCACATGAGTTCACAGCATTGGGCTTTAAGACACCATGGATATTAACAACTTTGTAAAAATGAAAATCTTATTTTGTCATTTTTTTTTATTTTCACCTAAAATTTACTACCTTCTAGTGAGCAATGGAAAGGGAGAAGAGGGGAGGACATGTGGGAAGGAAATAGGAGGAGCAGAGTGAGGGGAAGTATAATCAGAATAAAATGCATAAAAATATATTTTCAGTAAAGGAAATGTGAACACAAAAATTTTCTAATGTGATTAAGCAAGGATGTGAAGATTTTTATTAAATTATATAAAATGAATTGGAGGAATAGAAACAAAAATTTGGGGTAGTACACAGCACTCATATTTAGATTTAAAGGAAACTATAAAAGGTTTTAGCTGAAATCTTCTACTTTTAGAAAAAAATATTGTTTTTTATATTCTTGTGTGTATGTGTATGCAAATATATGACCATGCCTCTATAAGAGAGTTGGTACTATACACATGGAAGTCAGAAGATGATTTATGGGTGCCTGTTCTTTACTTCTACCATGTGGGTTCAGGGTTGGAAATCAGCTTGTCAGGTGTGGTAGCAAGTGTCCGCACCTGCAGAGCCATGGTTCAGAAAATGGTTTTTGATTGCAAGGTAAATAGTTTCATATTGCCCTACACTGGCAATTCTAAAATATATTTAAGCAAATATAATATATAAATTTGAATTTTTAAGACTAACATTAAAAGAGATTATGAAAAGGTTCGTTATGAATGATTTAATATACTGTGTAATGATAGTTTGTTTTATTTTATGCCAAAATTTTATTTCCTTCTTTTAATCAGTCATAGTCTATTATAGTAGTAATCTGGAAGCACATGGGAATGGAAAACTTACTACATATAAATCCTCCTTTTAAAGAACACTGCTGATGTTAACAGAATCATTACAGAAATTCTCATGAGTAAAATCTTTATGTATATTTCACTTGTCACGTAGAACCAACTTTTAAATTCTTTTTCCCTTTTTCTGTTTCCCTCTACAGAAAGCTGACCTCGCAGTTGCCCCGCTGGCTATTACCTATGTTCGAGAGAAGGTCATCGACTTTTCCAAGCCATTTATGACCCTTGGAATAAGTATTTTGTACCGCAAGCCCAATGGTACAAACCCGGGCGTCTTCTCCTTCCTGAATCCTCTCTCCCCTGATATCTGGATGTATATTCTGCTGGCTTACTTGGGTGTCAGTTGTGTGCTCTTTGTCATAGCCAGGTAACATGCTCCCTTTTGTGATTTTTTTGGCAATTGTTACCTCTTTTTCTAACTAATAATTGTCAAAAGTCACAATCTCCTTTCTTCAGTTTCTTGGGGGTGTTGTAGATATATAACCTTCTAAGATGCACACACACTTATTCGATGACCTATGCTGCTGGTAAGAGTCACATACACTTATCCAGGGAATATGCTGCCATTTGGGGCAGAAAGCATGCTGGTTGTGTCATTAAGCTGCAAGTGTGGTAGGTAGGCAATTGCTCCTTTAACCAAAATGTGAAAGGAGTCCAAAAATACTGAAAATTAGTTTTCTTATAATTGTGCCTGAAGATTCATAATTCTACTGCTATGTGGCTTTTAATTTTTATACTTTGTGGTAAACAGTATTAAAATTTAGATGTAGATATCTATGTTAATAAAAGTCCCATAATCTACAACTACATGCATTTATGTGCCCAATTGTCAAAATTAAATATGAATTTTTAAAAAATTTTGTAAGAAAAAAATTTTGAAAACCTATTTGTTCTTTCTTGAAATTCTCTGATAAGGTTATGTGCTTTTCCTCACAGTAAGACAATAAGTTTTAATTTAGAAAGATGATAGAATAAATTTTATATATATATATATATACATATATATATGCTACATTTTATGTATTTATATTTAGATAAATTTATACATAATTATATTTTAAATTTAGCATGTTATATAACTGGTTAATATTAAGATTTAATACCACTATAGTTTGCATTTGCTTTTACCAACAACCATGAAGCAATTGAAATTGTGTTGTGGGGCTTAAAGTATTTTTGTATAGATTTTTATTCTTCATCAAAACTAGAACTTAAAGTATGAAGTTCATAATCCATTAGCTTCTACTTTTCCATGATCTATGAAAATAAAACATTTGTAATATCTTTGGATCCAATAGCATATTTGTTTATTTACCAACACAAGCCATGCTACTTTTTAATTCTTCAAAGAAATAAATCCAAGTGATTTGCAGAATTAGTTTAAGCCTAGAACACTTCAAAGCCAGGACATACAAGAAAGATGAGCTACTCCACATGTGCAAAACATTCCTTTGTGTTTGCACATGCACCTACTCTGTGTTAATAGAGACTGAAGGAAGCTGCTAACACTACACTGTCCTGAGGAAGTTTGTTGGCATCAGTTATGCTAAAGTCTAATAGGACTTCACTGGAACCCCTTAACTAGACTCTTGAGATTCTTTTCCAGCTTCAGATGTATTAACTAATAAAAGCAAGTGATATTGATATAAAATTACCTAACAGTTCAAAATACTTTTCAACTCTCACTTTTCTGTCAAAATAAGATATTATATTGAGGAGTTACCTCTATTGATTAAAAGTAATAAAGAAAACCTCATTGAAAAAATTCATATTAAATTTGGAAGTATAAGGGAAGGAAGTTTGCCACATTCTATTGCCTTTATGATTAGCACAGTTACTGATTATATTTATTAGTTATTTATTAAAATTATGCAGCTCTAGCCTATCAATCAGAGGTGAAAAAAATATTAAATATGTAAAAAGTAAAACAAAACAAAAACTCTACCAGAAAGTTAATAGCTGTATTATTATCTTATTAAATAATAAAGAATATTTAATAGTCTTGATAAAAAGTATAATACTATGTAAGTTCTCAAAATATGTTTGCTTATCATTAGTAATGAAGACTTATTTAAAGTATCTCCAAAAAAATATATCCATAAAATTAAGACAAGCAGAAGAATGACTAGGTGCTAATTAATTTCTAAAATGCAGTCAAAATTCCAATGATTTTATATAACTCTTTCTGGTATGAAAGCAATTTATGAAATAAAATCCCAGAGGAAATTTATAAGTCTACAGGTAGGAGTCAATTGCCCTTATAAATTGAAGTATAATTTTTATTTTGTAATTAAAATAAAAATGATACTTTGGTTTTAACTATGATTTAAAATAATATCATTCGGAGATCTACAATCAATCACTGACAGTACTGAAGTCTAGTATACATGCTATTTTTTTCATATTCATATAGTACATACTTTATCTACATTAAAATTATAGAATATAGAAAGGTAACCTACTCAGTGATGATGTACCTCCCTCGCCTTCGCAAAACCCATAATTTAGACAACAAACAAACAAACAAGCAAAATCATTAGGTGTTTATCTTAGTTTCTGTGATAATATACTGTGAACAAATCATTAAAAAAGAAATGGTCTACTTAGCTCATATTAGAGGGCTAAGCCATCATGGCAGGAAGTTGAGTCAGTAGAGCATAAAGCAGCCGGTCACACTGTGTCTACACATGAAAAACAACAATGGATATCTATGTGTAATTTATTCTTTCTGCTTTATCCCATCCAGGATGACAATTCAGGAAAATTATCTGATGTTTACAATTAGGGTTGACCTTCCCACTTCCATTAATGCAGTCAATACAGTTCCCTACAGGCAAGTGCATAGGTCAGTGTAGTGTAACAAGCCCTTTTGGAAATTTCTTTCCCATCTGACTGAAGAGTATGCCAAATTGACTGTTAATACTCACGATAACAATATATGTGTCGTATTCACTGTAAGTCATAGACACTGATGTCTAAATCAACCACCGAGTTTATAACACAATTCCTACTCATACATTACTTTGATATATCATATTGAAACTTTAAAAATTATGTAACAACTAATAAAAAATAAAACAATAGCTGCATAATTAAATAAAGCAATTGTTTTACTATTTTCAGAATTTATTATTATTGACCTGTTAAAAATTTACTATTGTTTCTATTCTTTGTCTTCTATAACTATCTTCTTTGAGATCACATTTTTCCCTTTTCCTGTTCTCACTCCAGTTGTTTCATTACTCATTTTTATAACTAGTAAAATATTTGATTCTTTAGAATTACACTTTTTAGAATCTCATGAAACACGAAAAATTTCCTATGTTTACTAGTTTATTTAACACACATATACTCACACATGTACACACATCTATGTATAATACATTAAGTTATATATGCACCCACATATATACATGTGCCTTCAGCAATGTAATAAAATATTAATTATCCTAAATTTAAATATTAAAAAATTATATGTTTGAAACTCATATTCATAAAAATTGTTTCCATTTTAAAACATACATAAAGTCAACTATAGGAAAGTAAGGCATCAAGCAGATTGTCAAGCTGGATGCATGCTCTGTTATCATATTAACACCATTAGTTTCATTAAAAATTTAAACTCCATATCAATTAATAGCATTCATACTTTTAAAGCTAGATTTTTAAGGAGTATATTTTTAGTAATTAAAATAATCTGACCTCATCCTTAGTTTTCAAAGAATCACACCTAATACACCTAAATTTTAAACAAAATTTAATAGTTACCAACAAAAAAATGCCTCAAAAAATTTAGTGTTGGTTTCATCTGCCATATGGCCTTTACAGGCCTCTGATTTATTATTTGTAGCATAATGACACAATCAGCATCCTCTGAATTAGAAGAGAAGTAGCTTAAGAGTAGATGTCAGGCTGATATATACATTCTAGACAGCAAATGTCCCTGTCCTACACATCTTAACAGTTTTTATTAGCTGACAGGAAGAAGTACTGTGTGTAACATGTTTTGCTTCCTTATAATATTTCTGAATCTTAATCACTCGCTTTATTTCTCATTTGCTTTGCTTTAATCTAGTTATATTATTAGTGAGATGATAGTCATACAAAAAGGATGACTAGGGTACCCACAATATTTATGCATAAGATGTGATTTTCACCTTGCTTCAAATATTTCCCATTTTAAAAAACATAGACTACAATCAACAAGATACTTATAGAATGGATTAATTTAAATTCTCATAAATATAATCACCATAGATAGCAGAGAATCTTTCTTTCAACTATAGATATCTCAAGGGCAATCTGAGCTCCTGAGTTTCAATATCCAAGTTTTATTTTCAGTTTTTATAATTTGTAATATAGAGATACATAATGGATTTTAACACACATGTAGGAAAAACTGGTGCACACATTTCCCTTCAACAGGATTGATGTCACCTGAATAATTATGCATGAATTTGGACAGAACATCAGAAAATGAAATGTAAACGAACTGAGATGAAATGCTGTTCTCACACCAAATTTTATAAGAATATTGATACACAACTATAGTTCAGGTTTCTTACATGAGCAAGACAGTATAATCACATATAATTCTATCTCAGGATAGCAAACTAAAGAATATTTTGATGTGTTGAATATATATAATTTTACTTTCTAAGTAAAAAATCAGTATGGATTTTATGTTTACTATTTTATGATTTTTAGAATATTTGAGTCATAACTACTACATTTCTGAGTAAAACAATGAAGAATGGCCCCAACATCTACTTAAATGTTGATAATTGCAGTTACCTTAGGCAGGGCCTTGCATTATGTTTCAGCTAACATGGTTTATGATCACATAATGACAAACTTATGTCTCACTTGGAGTCTTATACTTTAAAAGAAATCCTTCGTTTCTCTTTGAACTCAGTGATTTTAAGTATTGCGCCTTTGATAGTTTACTGGCTTAAAAACCCTTGTCCACAATGTCCGCATTAACAATTTTGATCATGCTTCCTGAGCAGTATGCAACAGCTCTTATATGCTTGTCATGATGAATGATAGCTCATGTATAGTGAAGGGCAAATATGAATTATTATACACTTCAAAATGGATAACTGTTTTGGGAGAGAAATTGGCTGGTTGATAGAAAGATTATTGTCACATTAAAATGAAATACTAATTTTGCTCTGTGCTAGTACCACCAACTCTCCAAGTTCATAGTAAGAAAACTATATACCCTATACCTTTTTCTGTCATTGGTTTAGGTAAAATTTTGCTTTATTTTCAATGAAAGTTTTAAGAAAGTAAATTCAAGGGAAAACTATTTGCTATTCCTTTTGCCATGTAGAATATATACACACATGAGAAAGATCATTAAAA